CCCTCCGCCACTCCGTGCTGCTCATGGCTCACTTACACGCAGCAGTGTATGAGTGACGCGTTATCGTGTGCGAGTCACACGGATATTCGGACGGCATTAACGCCGGTGCGTGTACACTCCTTGTCTCTATTAGAAGTCTGAGATGAGGGTAGCCAAAGCGTCTGCATGAGGACGCTGCGGCAAGGCGAACGGGGACGGAGGCGTTGCGAAAAGGAAAAAGGGAGGTTAGGTCGTCTCTCTCGACGGTGGTGTGTGGCCATATTGCTTCTCTCGTCAAAAGGAGAGCAGCGAAGACAGAGCAAAGAGAAGTGTTTGAGTCGGAGTGTCGGGTGTTTGGGATCATCTCCCATTGTCCAAGTGCGGAAGCGGGGTGACAGCATCGAGCCGCAATTTGAGAGGCCCCGATTTGAGGACGGGGATCGCCGTATTGCGAAGTGATACGGATCGTCGCTAGACCAAAGGTGACGTCAGTGAGAGCGTCCGCCGATACGTGTAGTAAGTTTTACCTTTGGTGACCTCACACCGAGGATGAGTAATGCCGGCTTGCACCAGTTTCGTCAGTGAGCAGTAAATAGCTGTTTGGTACACATATGTGAAACCATGCAATTGAGGCATGGTTGATATCCGCACAGAGGTGGTCAGCTTTACAACTGATGACCTACATACTGGGCAACAAACGGACAAGCGCTCCGCCTTTTTTTTTGCATAATACGGTTGACCCTTACAAAAGAAACTCTGATAACGGTGTTCGACTATCGGCTCGGAGATCCTAAGATCGGCTTAGGATAGAGAGCGGCGACTATGATAACACTCAAGTCGCTGAGAGTACTTGTCAGAAGGACAAGTCATAGAAACGACTTATAGCTAATATGAACTCTGACGGCATTGTTTCATATTACGCATAAGAACCTAAAATAAGAGGTTCTTTACGTCATTATCGGGAACCTAAAGTAAGAGGTTCATCACATTGTTAATCACTTTAATTACAGGTCTATATGGTTTATAATGTTCTACTCCATAAGGGAGATCAATAAAGAAAGAAGAAAATCGACATGTTCTAGGTTCATTTCCCTGAGCACATCCAAACCTAAAGATTTTCTATGAGTCGGTTTTCATCAAACATTAACAACTTCTTTAATTTGAAGACATCTGCAGCTGAGGCGCATCGATTGCTTGTAGAAGCATATGGTGAGGCTGCTTTAAGTGAGAGAAGTTGTCGTGAGTGGATTTAAAAGTTTAAGAACGGTGAGTTTGACGTCGAAGACAAAGAACGTAGCGGAAGGCCGAAAATGTACGAAGACGCGGAATTGGAAGCATTATTGGAGGAAGATTCGTGCCAAACGCAAGAAGAATTTGCACTTACATTAGGAGTGACTCAACAAGCAATTTCACATCGTTTAAAATCGTTGGGAATGATTTAAAAGCAAGGGAATTGGGTTCCATATGAATTGAAGCCGAGAAACGTTGAACGCCGATTTTGCACATGTGAAATGCTGCTTGCCAGGCATAAACGAAAGGGTTTTTTGCATCGTATAGTCACTGGTAATGAAAAATGGATCCACTACGATAATCCAAAGAAGAGGAAATCATGGGGACTACGTGGCCATGCTTCAACATCGACAGTCAAGCCGAATATTTATGGAAAAAAACTCATGTTGTGTATTTGGTGGGATCAGCTTGGTGTCGTGTATTATGAGTTGCTCAAACCGAACGAAACCATTACTGGAGCTCTCTACCGAACACAATTGATGAGATTGAGCCGAGCTCTTAAGGAAAAACGCGCCCACTACTACTCCAGACACGACAAAATTATTCTCCTGCATGATAATGCTCGTCCACATGTTGCGGCGCCGGTCAAAACCTATTTGGAAACACTCAATTGGGAAGTTTTACTCCACCCGCCGTATTCACCAGACATTGCTTCCTCTGGCTATCACTTGTTTCGATCGAAGACGTACGGCCTGTCTGAGCAGCACTTCACATATGAAGATACCAAAAATTGGATCGATTCGTGGATAGCCTCAAAAGATGAAGCGTTCTTCCGACGCGATATCCGTATGCTGCCAGAAAGATGGAAAAAAGTAGTGGCTAGCGATGGACAATACTTTGAATAAAATATAAGGTACCTTTCTTTCACAATAAATGCCCAATTTTTTATAAAGAACGGCGGAGACTTATTTGTACTCCCAATAATTATATTACTATTTAAAAATTTAATTATAAAAATAATTAAATTATAATTATAATTACTATTTTAAAAAATATTAGGGGATTTAAGGTCGGTTTGTTAGTCAGAAGGTAGATTCATCGCGTACGTTAAAAAAAGTCCGGAAATCCCATTCAGCACGTACGGCTGACACTACAAACATTATTATTCTCCCCATCGTATATAATTGCACTAATATCCAGCATTTGGCTCTTATTTGCCGTATTTTTATTAAAATTTAGACTTTTCAATAAGAGAGCCTTAATGATATTTAGTTTGCTTATAACGCTTGGCTGAAAAATAAGCAGTTCGTATATTTATATCCGTAAGGATAACATATAAGCGTACGAGTTGCGAGGAATGCTGTCGAAGTCTTGGTAGCCGAATAGGTAAAGGCGTCCCGCCCGGATAGTGGGAAGGTTCCAGGTTCGACTTCTGGCTGAGGCAGTATTTTTTCGCAATTTAATAATGGAATCAATACGTGCTAAGAACATCTAAAATGAAAAAAAGGGAAAGGGGGTTTTTAATAATTATAATTACTATTTAAAAAAATATTATATTACTATTATTAAATTATATTAAATATTATTATTATATAATTATATTACTATTTAAACATTTAATTATAAAAATAAATTATAATTATAATTACTATTTAAAAAAATATTAGGGGATTTAGGGTCGGTTTGTTAGTGGAAGGTAGATTCACCGCGTACGTTAAAAAAAGTCCGGAAATCCCATTCGGCACGTACGTCTGACACTACAAACATTATTATCCTCCCTATCATATATAATTCCACTACATCCAGCATTTGGCTCTTATTCGCTGTATTCTTATTAAAATTTAGACTCTCCTTGTCTACGATCAGTCCATATATTATAGGTTCATACTTGCAACTAATGTAGAACGATCTTAACGTAGAACAACCTTAAAGGCTGGTTTATGATGACCGTAAAAGCCGGTTTATAATAGCTGTAATCAGGGTTGGGAAAGTTACTTTATAAAAGTAACTCGTTACCGTTACCGTTCCTTTTTCTAAAAAGTAACTCGTTACCGTTATTCGTTACCAATTTCAAAAAGTAACTCGTTACCGTTACCGTTACTCAAAAAATAATGAGTCGTTACAAATTTCGTTACTTTTTTTATATACAAAACAAACTTTATGCATGATTTTTTATATAAAAATTATTAATATGCTGTAAATGT